GGGGGGGGGGTCAGGACCCCACTGAACCCCCATCCCTAAATCCGCCACTGAGTAAGACAATCTTATTACTCTAATTTAAACATATCTATTAACACACGGCAGGGAGACAAAAAGAATACGCAGTCGATGTGCTGGGTATTTATGTGCAGGTTTACACAAAAAATAACAAACGGCTTCAACTTAATACATTTCAGGTTGATAAATGCACTTTTAGGCTCTATATTTTCTACAGATCATCAAATATGTATTTTTTTATTTATACGAGTATTTTCTTTGTTTTTTATTATTATTTTATATAAATTCACCTTATCTGTGTTGTGTACAGGAAACCTAAATTTGAAGAAGTTAAAATAAGAGGTTTCAGTGTTTATAAAGCAGAGGCAAACGCTCTACTCTCTCTCTGAAGATATCTGGGAATTGAGGCTACTTTAGATATTGGGCAAATGACACATTGGTACCCAGATATAGAGTTTATTGGAATAAGATATTCTCTTAGACTGCATTTGAATTACCCTTTATAGCAACTGTATCACGGTGAACATATGTTATGTTTCTGTAGGCTAGTGGTCTCTCTGAGGATTCTTTTTTATCAAAATACGTTTTAGCACTGTGATCTGGGCAGAAATTTTGACTATTATGTTGTATTGAAGTGTTATAATTTTCAGTGGCTGACATCTGGAACCCTCCCTTTCTTTAAATAATAAAATTTGCTTTTATAAAGTATCATAAAAGAAAGGCGATATAAAGGCCTATGTTCTAAAGATACAAGTAAGACAACTTAAATTAGAAATTAGTTTATTTGCAAATTCCATATTGTGGTAATTTTACAAAGGCCACATAATGTAAAACTGATAAATGAACTCGTATACACACCCATACATTAGATATTCTACTTCATCACTGTCAAGTTCATTACGGAACCACATGAGATAGCGCAGGTGTATCGGACTTCAGTGCGCAACCAACTGGACTTCCAGACGGACGCATAACTTTTCTTCCTACGCGTTTTATTTTTTTTTTTTTCATTTTTTGATGGAAACCTTCAATATTTCTTCTCAAGAAGAAGACGCCCTACTGGGGTCAGGGGTGGGTATTACCCCCTCTGAATCGAGAAACATTTTCTCAGCGATTGATGGCCTTAAGGGCACTATGGAGGCTGTTGCCTCCAATATACAGAAAATGGGCGAGGTTTGGGCGACAATGGCAGCCGAAAAGAAACCCACCAAACGCTCTGCGACGGTCTTTGAAGAAGGAGAGGAAGGAGACTCCTCCTCCTGCTCCGATATTGACAGTCCTATGGACCATCAGGACGAAGACGACGTTGCGAGCCTCCTCAATGCCGCGGGAAAACAACCAAAGGCGGCAAAAAGTGACAGTTAAATATTCCAATATCTACCACGGGCAATGTTAAAATAATTGATGAACTGATATACATACACAAGCAAGTTAAGATATCTGTCAATCTATATTCTGTGAATGAGAACAAAATATATTTTATCTTACATGAAATATATTGTAACTTTCTGCACACATAAATATCTGTGGTGCTGTTTTCTTTGAAGGAATATATATTACTATAAAGTGCTTATTAAAACTTTCTACAAATATAATTTAATACGATACTACACATAAAAAACATCCACTTAGAATAACATCAATATAATAAATGGACTTACATGCATATGCATGTTAAAATATAATATATTCTCTGTGTGGGACAAAACTGAGAATATAATACCTTGTATACATATTGATATCAATATAATAAATAGACTTACATGTATACGTGTGTTAAATTATCAAACTATACTCTGTGTGGGACAAAACTGAGAGAATAATACCTTGTATACATATTAAAACATCTACCACATGTATTTGTGGTGTTGTCATTGGGACAAAACTGAGAGTATAATACCTTGTATACATATTAAAACATCTTCCACATGTATTTGTGGTAGTGTCATTGGGACAAAACTGAGAGTATAATACCTTGTATACATATTGAAACATCTTCCACATGTATTTGTGGTGATGCCATCTTTAAGGGATATATTTACATCAATTACATGATGTGGAAATTATCAGAAGAATATATTTACATAAAATACATATGGATGCTTTTTAACATATATACAGTGCTTTTTACAAATATCCATTTTTGTTTGTGGGAATGAACTAAAGGAGTAATTTATAAGCTAGTTTAAATAGATGGGTATAATAACATAAGTTACCATAGCACATACAGGATCATGGCACTGTAATAGGTGCACAGTGTACCTGTTTCTACTAGTTTTACACCTTGTACATAGATGGGTATAATAACATATACAGGATCATGACACTGTAATAGGTGCACAGTGTACCTGTTTCTACTAGTTTTACACCTTGTACATAGATGGGTATAATAACATATACAGGATCATGACACTGTAATAGGTGCACAGTGTACCTGTTTCTACTGGTTTTACACAAATATGGTCAAAAATACTAATAATTATTATCCAAATGTTAAACAGAACCTTTAATACAGCATTAAAAGCATAAGCATGTTATTTTGTATTATATGGCATTGAAGGATCTTAACATTGACATATATTACAGGATAATCTGCTTCTTTTAACTTTGCTTGTGAAATTTACATTATTTATAAGAAAACAAAACAAAACAAATAATTCACAATATTTCTTAAATTAGCTCAAAAGTACCAACATTTTGTCGTAGAAAGAAAACTGAGGGATCAATATATCTGTGACAAAGTTGTTGTCTTCTGCTGTTACACGAGGTACATGTAGTAAATACAAGTCATAAATTCCTCCATGCTATTTATTTACTACTTTCATGGACTGTACAGAATGCTGTCAAGATATTTAACTTTTAACAATCCTGATAATCCCTCTTACTGACAATACAATTTTTACTTTTCAAAAAAATTGGATATGTTTCCATATCACTTGATATTCATCATAATGAAACTATGATTATTCAGTCTATTTCAAAATTAATGATAAATTATGTTTATAGTTCATGGTCTACAAATTACGACATGTTTTCTGAAGGACCCCTCGTGTACAGCATTTCAGGCATTGCTGGCTCAGTTCCCATATCCTCCTCTATCCTTGCTAGTTCAATGTTAAACAATTTGAATATTGGCCAAATGGGTGATATTAAGGCAGCAGAATAGGAAGTCTTTGCCACCACCATCCCCACAATATGGGGTTCCCCGTCCTTTAAATAGAACACTGCAGCACCAGAGTCTCCACGTTCAGCAAAACTATCACAGTCATTGTCTCCAGTTTTAGGTCCACATATCTCTACCAAAGACGACAGTAGTTCATTACAAAGAATGGGCACACCTGCTTGTTTTGCTTCATACTGTACAATATCCGGTCGACAAACCACACCATTTATGAACCTGACCATTTCCCGTGTGAGACCAGTCTGCCTGCCACATTTGAACATAACATGGGAACTTAAGTCTTTGTCGGATCCAAGACATGCGTTATTAAAAGATAATTCACTTTCTTCCAGGTGAAGATCCCGCAAAGTTTGTGGAGCTAATCCTGCAGGTATCCCATAGGTCCCTCTGTCCCCAATTTCAACAAGGGCTATATCAGTGCCGTATGGCTGATTGTGAATACTGAAATTCCCAAAGTGAAAATCTCTGACAACACCACAAACTCTGTTTTTGTCTCTAGATGCAAGATCTTGTCGGAATTTTATGTTTGTTTCTTGATCTACATCGGATGGTTGGCAGACTTTCACCCCCTTTTTAAATGGTGCATCTATGTGACACATGGTATGGCATCGTAACACATGGTAGCATGTGAGAAAACATAATGTCTGCTCACATAGTACAAACATTCCTAAAGTACCACAACGCTTCAAATTTTCCAGTCCTATGCTGCAGCCCACTCTCAGTGGATCACTGTATAAAGTTGGATTGATAATAAATATATAAAATATATGTGGTCCATAATAATTATTTCAAAATTCTGCTCAACACAGTTGAAAGTGGACCTTTTTATAAAATCCTGAAAATGCAAGCAACAGTGGTCTGGATTGAGGGCATAAATACAGCACCAAAATATCGGAATATTTAGACTTATCCCTACACAATTTCCTATAGGATGTCCTTTAGGAAAAATGTGCTAAAGAACATCTACAGCTAGGATTTGGGGCAAATGTCCGTCGGGTCTGGTAGGACATCCTATGGGGCCAAATAGAATATTGGGTCAATTTCCTATAGGACATCCATAATTACTGTAAGGGTTCATCTCTAGATCAATGAAGTCACTTGTCACATATGGTTAGAACTATGAAGTTACTTTAGAACTCTTCACATTTGTCTAAGTTCTAGTTGTTCACCCTGGTAGTCATGAAGTCTCAGGCTTCCTCAGGATGATATGACTCTTGTACGTCCTCCGGTTTCACTGCCAGAAGATCTGCGAGATCTTGCCGGTCCTCATCAACAAACCACTGCCGCAGGTGCTCCACAGGATCCTTATCCAATGTGCATTTCAATACCTTATGTAGTAAAAGGCTGCATTTCTCTGAAGATGTTTGCTGGCATTTAATTTTCTCCATGTCTGAATCATTAATGATACTTTTTGAAAAAAGATAATCTACCAGTTTTCTAATATCAACTCCTCCATTGACTATGTAGGACAAGTGTTTTCGCAGATTCTGACATTCAACCTCATGAACCCTTGCTTTCTGAAAAATAAATACCTGCTGTGCTTAAAACACATGGCATGAAAAAGGGATATTTTGAAAATAAAGACAATCCCTACAAAGTGAAAATATATTCCTGCCCAAGAAAACAAAAACTTTCTTTTTGCTTCTTACTTCAAAACTATCCATAATATGTATTATATAATCACACTCACAGTAAACACAAGTAAAATATAAATGAAACAATAATAGAATTAATAAAAAAAAAGTTTAATGAGAAAAACAGACTTACTCTAACTTCATCAATCATGACCTCTATTTCAGATGGTTCAACAATTCCCGTCACTGCCTCCCCTATCTTCTTTAACAGCCATATAAGTAATTGGAAGGAACTCTGCAGATGGCAGAAGACAAATTCCACAGGTTCTTTAGGACAGCAATCATTCCCTAACCGCAGTTCACGTACAATAACTTCCCACACCCTTGGAATCTTAAAAATGCGATCCATGTTTGCTTTTGTCTTCAAAGGCAGATACCGCTGTAAAACATGAACATTAGCAGGTGGTGCAACAGCCATCAACTCTCGATCTCCATTTTGATGAATTTCAAGCTGGCTTATGCCTATGTTTTGAACAATAACAATGGGTTGCCCTTCTGTCTCCATGTTTGTTTGTCTCAAGTGTGGATGTAATCCTGATCTGCCATAGAGCTGAGATAGAGCACACAAGGCCTGTTGGTCTGGAAGCTGTTGTTGACATTGTTGTGGGGTAAGGTTTGCAAATTGCTGATGTTGTGCTAAAATTTCTACTTGAGATGGAGTTTCAACTATTGGATTTGCCTCATGTTGCTGATTTATAGGTATTGATGATGGTGCAGATGCAGATGAAAAAGATGTAAACCGTTGTGGTGCTGATAGAACTGGTTGTTCTGAGAAGCCCAAACTTGACTGTTGCAGTGATGTCTCTGGGGCTAGGAGACCCTCCTGTGCCTGGTGGGACACCAAGGGGTTCATAACTGACTGTTGCTGCAGAGGTTCTGATGTCCCTGGGGCTGGGAGACGCCACTGTGCCTGGTGGGACACCAAGGGGTTCATAACTGACTGTTGCTGCAGAGGCTCTGATGTCCCTGGAGCTGGGAGACGCCACTGTGCCTGGTGAGACACCAAGGGGTTCATAACTGACTGTTGCTGCAAAGGTTCTGATGTCCCTTGGGCTGGGACTGGGAGACCCCACTGTGCCCGGTGGGACACCAAGGGGTTCATAACTGACTGTTGCTGCAATGATTCTGAGGCCTGTGTCCGGTTTTCCCCAATGAGGCTAGAATCTGGATGAGACAATTGGTGTGTTTGTCTGTTGAGTTGTTCAGTGCCAGGTACCTTTGTTATCTGAAAATATATCAAGATCAAACATTTACTTGAAGTATTAGGTGTCACAGATTAAATTTTATGGATGATATAAGCGCTTGCATTTATTTTTGCCTGTTCTCAAGAAAAAAATCCCATCTTCAGAAATAACCTTGTGCACATGCGTATTGCAGCCAAATGTGGATGCAAAGATGGCAGATGCGTTGACGCTGTTAAAATTGATGAACATAAAAGTTCACAAGCCAAATTGGTTTGCAATCAATGTTGGTGGCAAACATCATGTTTGCTCAACTCTACGAGAGACTGGCAGCAGCGAGGGACTTAAGATAATTTCTAAGACGTCCTATCCAAAGTGGCTCACACAAAATCAGAAAAATGAAAGGGGAGATGTATATATATTGTATTATCAGTTTTTGGTACAATACAAAGAGGAAGCAGATGAGAGCCAATTCTTCAATATTCTCAGCACAGAGAAAGATGTTTTGTTTGGTACACTGAGATAAAGCAGATGGCTGCTGACTATTTAGTGTTAATATTCTCAGTGCAAATGACGTGTTGTTGATTTGATACACTGTGTTTTGTGTTTCAGTTTGCATTTCCAGCTGTGCATTCCTTTACTTTAGCAGCAATTATTTACTTATTTATTGCCTGCTCGCATTAGTTTTGAGGTCTTCGGGGGACGTCATCCATAAAAATTAACCCTCATCCACAAGGAAATGGAACCCTACGTAAACCCTGAAACCGGGCCTCAGAGGCCCAGTGTACCATGTAAATCTGACTCCCCCCAAAAAACATTCAAAAATCTAATTTAATTTGAGTAAATGACTATGATATTGTAGTATGCATAATGGAGGACACATTGGCACTTTTTGTTAGTTTGCAGGTGAAAATTTTCATGAAAAAATAAAGAAAAATTAAAGATTTGTATTTTACCACCCAAGGACTCCCCTATGAAAAAGCTATTTATTTGACATTTGATGACAATTTCAACATCTTTTCTTTGAGGATACTTTATGAGGAATATATTGAAAGTACTTTAAAGTTTAATGGTTAAAAAATTGGGTGAAAATAATAATAATAAAAAACAAGGCAGCAAAGCTGTCAAATGTACAGACAAAAACAGAAAATAAAAATGCAGAAAATGGGTCATTTTGTCAATTTTGATGCAATAATAAATAATGCCTATAATAGCACTGTCAATCAACACTGAATTTTAATCATGCACAACAGGTAACATGGTCAATAACAGGAGCAGATCCAGAGGTATTTTCTGACAGTATTCCAAATTATCTTTGTTGATCCATCCTCCATTTTTATGGTCTTCCAACAGAAAAAACAGATACCCATCAATGTGAACTTTAAAATCTGACCGTCATCTGAAAGACCCAGAAGACGGCCTCAATCCGCCCCTGCAATAAGATTACAGTTTAAGGACCATGAGAGTTCAAATTCACATTATGAAAATCCCAATATTTGAAAATTGATGACAGTGCATAAAATAATATTACATAATGTTTAAAGACATAAAAACTAATGCAACTGCTTATGTGAAAATACAGAAAATGTGAAGAGCTTCAGGTGGATGGGAGCTGAAAAATTCCAGTGTTTGAAAAATAAATTAAAAAGAAAACACTGTCACAACAAAAATATTCCAATAAAGCTGCTATTCAAACTTTTAATATTGCTGTATTAACATGATATGAATAACCTCAATGTGTTTGAGGATAATAAGGCACTGTTATTTATCTACAGCATTAATGTTGGCGTAACACAATTTTTTTTTTCCTCTGTTGTAACGCCTTTCATGATACCGGAGTCGTTTGTCAAATTCTTGTAACTTTGTTTTAGAATCAATGAATAGACTATTTCTGATATATCGATGGCCTTTAAATTTAGAGTATTGAATTTCTGCATTATGCATGCGTTTCCATATATCCGTTAATTCGTCACACCAATATGGTTTAGATATTCTCAACTTCTTTTTTGATTTCCCGCCGTTTTTTACATCATTAAAGGGAACAGTGGCATTCATTTCATTAATTAATTCTTTAACTACGCGTTCATACATGTAGTCAACTTCATTTTGGTTTTCCCTCATTAGTTCAATACTATCTATAATCTGTTTGATTGCGAGCCTTGATATATCTGACGTAAAGATGTCACTTTTACCTTCTTTAAACTTGTATATTCTGCGGCCACTGCTGTTACTATTTATTTGTTTGTTTTGGTTAATATTATGCATGTCATCACAACCTAAGTTATCCATATGGACGTGTTTCAGTGTAGCTTCTAATACTGAGTGATCGGGAAGTTTACATCTTCCACTTAAAAGACCCTGTAGATTGTAATTTTCTATATAATCACTCATCGTATGTACCCTAAAGTCTGTAACTTTGGACAAATTCTCATGCGGAGTAATAATGTAGTCTACAACTGATTTTCCTCTCTTTAAATAAGTATAATTGTTATGTGCCTTATCACCCCTACCATTTAATATGCATGTCTTACTTTCAATCAGAAATTCAATCAGCTCTGATCCGTGAGAATTTGTCTTATCATCAATACTATCCCTCCCCTGAATCTCATCTACCTGAGGCGTGAAATCTCTCATACTACCGATTCGTGCATTTAAATCTCCGCATAGACAAAGTATGTCGCAACCCTCATACATATAACATTTCGCTAATAAATGTGCAAAGAAATTAGCAGCATCTCTTCCATAAGGCGAGCTCTCAGGAGGTAGGTAGCAATTAAAAAGTATAATATTTCTATCAGTAATTTTATGTATTAGTTCTATTCCTAAGATTCCATCTACAGACTTATCTACCACAAAAAGTTTATATTCATCTAACACACTGTTTTTCACAAAAATGCCCACACCCCCAAAATTATGAGGCGCGTTCTTATGTTTAGCAAACCTAGGGTGATTTATAAACGTATATCCTTCTATATTAAATAAGTTATTATTATTTGGGTTTGCATGAGTTTCCTGCACAGCAAATATATCGTAGCCTGATGTTTTTATAATGGTCTCCCTTAACTGTTTATTCTCATCTGTCCATCCCGCCTGGTTTTGCGACCCAAGTCTCAGTCCGTATACCGGCTGGGTGCATTTGTCCTAGCGTGGGCCTATTGGGAAATAATTCCCAGTTGGTGCTGTATTTGTAGGCGCTGGGATTCTCTGGTATGGTATCGGCATTCTTGGGAGTACTTGCGGAGCTCCTGCCATTTGTGTGGGTATGTTTATTTGTGAATACTGCGTAGACCCAAAGTTTTGTGTATTGGTATTTTGATTCGGATTTGTGCCATTTCTGATCCTCTCCTTTTCCTCGTCGCGTCTAATTTGTTCTGCAGATTTCTCCCGGATTATACCGTGATTTGTGATATAAAAACGATTTCCGCCAGGAATATAGTTGAGTAAAAACTCCATATTTTTGTCCATGACCCTTTCAGTATGGGATTTACTTGCTCGGATCCACACCTTCCGTACTCTCGGGTCTGTACTATAACGGACGTTAGTTTTCCTTCTCACTACTGCAATCTTCTCCTCAATGCTACAGAACTCAACTTTCACAATCCCTGGTTTTCCATTTCTGCCTGGTAGTCTACGACATTCTTGGATCCTGGGTATCACCGTGGCCTCTTCGCCAGTTTCGCCATGCGTCATTACGGTCATCAATACCTGACTAACCTTATTTTCAAGATCTTCATTAGGGTTTTCTTGCAGGTTCGAGATTATTATACTCAGGTCAGAATTCTCGACGCCGCTTTTGCTCGCATCTAAACAGAATTTGACTTGTGTCTTCAGGTCATTTATTTGCCTATCCTTTTCTTGGATTTCATTTGAAAGTTGGGCGGCTTTTTCCTCCAGTATTTTAATGTGCTCGTTTTGTGACTTAATTTTATTTTCAACTTCTTGTTTCATAATATTGTTGTGTTCGTGCATTTTCCTACCTTCACCCGGTGTGCTCTCCCTGCGCGGAGAGCGCGCAATTATGGTAAGTACTGCGCACACCAGGTGGAGAGTCCAACTTCCCTGCCTGATCCCGGTGAGTACAACTCAACCACAGCTACCGTGCAGACGTGTACGGTACAGCCGACGAAAATAATCAGAATTGAGACACAATACACAGTGATCTACAATCTCACTCCGTAAGTAGAACCAGTGAATACTTTAATATTATTTTTTTCCGTCACAAGGGATGTTATGTCCTGCTTTAGAGTTTTACACATTTTTTCATGCTTTACCACTATTTCTTTTTGTCCGTCTCTTATTATTCTCAATTCTTTTGCCATATTTTTAATCTCTGTGGCCAAATTTTGCATAAATTCTGTCGGTGCTAATGGTATATGTGTGTCACTTGTTGACTGCTCCTGTGTAAGGTTTTGTCTGTCATTTTCCACACCTAGCTGGGTCGTTCTCGATATGGGGCTTGATTGCGTTTCAAATTGTAAACTTTCATTATGTACATCCCCAAACAGAATACGATGCGCATCCTCCAGAATGTCACCAGTTGATGGAGATTGTTCATGACTACTGCTTATTGACCCGCTAGTCTCCATCGTCTTTCGCTTTTTACTCAACGACTTCCTTCTACCCATAGTACAATCAATGCAGATATTATGCCAGGTTTACAGTAAGACTGAGTAACAGTGATAGTCAATGTGTTGACGAACAACTGCACTGCCCCGGGCGTTAGCACCTCATTACTGCTATAATTGCAATGGGCTGTGTACACCAAATCATGTCATCTAAATTCATGTAATGAGTAGATGTTGGCCTGAGCCTTCCGTTATCTTACGAGGACCAACAAGATTTTCTTCTCCAAATATCTGATGATCAATACCTCGAAAAGTCTCACCTATAGCTGCAAGTCTACCTCGGTTGGCTTATAAAGGTGTTTTCCGCACATAAACAATCTGCGTTGGTTCCACGGTGCCGAAATACACCATATTCCGAGAGCACCAAACTTTCACATCATCGTCA